ATGCGAAGCCTTGCAGGGTTCGCCACGTCGTGTGCAGAGAATTGTAGAGCTTTGTTTTGAGATCAGAACCAACACGACTTAGGTTGTCTTTAAGTTCGAGATGCATGCGTTTTCGACCTTTATGGTGCGGCATAAGAACAGCTCGTTCCTAGGTTTTTTAAGCAAAAATGGAATAAAAAAGAGGAGTAAGGAGAAAAAAAATTCAATATGAGCATGAGAAAAAATAATAACTGGGCCACTTATTTATAAGAATGGGAAAGGAAAGATACAAATAGGCTGATGAATAATTTTTACAAAATATAAATTAATACCGTATGGAGGATATGGTGACCAAGATTGGGTGGCCGTTAGTATGGCCGCAGTCTCTTTTCGTTGTATAGATGTTGTTCGAGCTTATTTTAGACTCTGGAAATCACTATGAATTCCTCTGAGTCTTCCTGCAACACGTCAAAGTTGCGAAAACAAGCTCAAACAACTTAACCGAAAATCTAGGTTCCAAGGTGTAAGGCGGGTAAAAGATGTCCTAAAGATATCTTGAGCGAATAGCAATATGGTAATAAACAGTTAATTACTTTATGTCAGACAAATAGTTTAGAACTTAAAAGAACATGGAGAAATGTAGTAAAAAAAGGGCTTTGAAAAAAACCTGAAAGTCGGGTACTATAAGCGTCTCCAAGCGATATGCGACTGGATCAAAAGGATGGAAAAGGTTGAAGACCAAGGGGCAGGTTGGCAACATAAAATCGGGAGAAAGGCAGGAAATGCCACGCGCCACCAGAAAAAGGGAAAGAGGTGAGCCGATCATGAAAAGTGCTGCCACAGGGAATCCAAGCTGAAATTGTTCTGAATTTGATAAATGTGGCCAAGACGAACAAGGTTTCGCTAAATCTTCTCTCTTATTAGCACGCGACTGGATCCAATAACACTCATTTAATTCATCATTGTCACTAGCATCTTCACATACGGATAAATTAGCAGCAACCTGAGAAGCTTGAGCTCGATCAAATCTGAGAAAAACAAGATATGAATAACAAGTGATTATATAATTTTTAATTGAGTTTCTCCTT